CCCTCTCATTACATCACTGGTGCCCTGTACTCTGCTTCTCAGTGCTGCCCTATTTCATAGGGGTCCAGTAGATCTGTGGGTCGGTGCTCTCCAGGACTTCAGTCCCTCTTTCACAGAGCCCCCCCAGGTGCTGCATTGGAGGCTCTGGGTGCTGCTCACCCATCGCTTGGACTATGTGGAGCCCCACATCTATCCCACTGCAGCAGTGAAAGCACATCAGAAATGTCACTGCCAAAATATTGTCATTTTTCATGCCTGCAGCAGCAGAGAGGTTATCATCCTCAGGCTGCCTTCAGTCTGTTTGTTGTCTCCCTATCCTTTCCACAAACATCATCATCTCCCTCCCTGTATTTAAACTAACCCCAAATATTTTGACAGAACCAGGATAGGAAGCAATTACACGTGCAGTTACACTGGCAAATCAAAGGGGACGGCAACCTCTCAGCCTGACACAGCAGCAACCACAACAGCATTTCTGCCAAGTTTTTATTCCCATTCCTCTTCCAATAACTTCACCTACCTACAGTCTTCACAGGGAGTGGAGAAAACCTCTTGGTCTCACCACATGATGCGGCTGTCACATGAACCTTTGTAGCTGAACCCTCAAATACAAACTTCCAGGACACATTGGCCATACAATTTCAAATCCAGTATCACATCACACTGTTCCCGTGACCAGTCTGGCACCAGCAAGGAGTTATTTTGGGTAGGCTGGGGTCTGCTTGGCTATGCTACATGCTGATGGATATCAAGACACAAATTAGCCATACGCCCTCACAGCAATGAAGATTAACCATTTACTGGGTTTTGTTGGCAAGAGCAAAGCCAGATGGATAATGTAAGGAGCCATGCCCCTCTCATAGCTCCTATGGGTCTGTGGCCAAGTGCTGAGAGTGAGTTCTGAGTACAGAGGGGACGAGATTGGTACAGAGGCACTGGGGCCAGTACATGCAACATGCAAGCCCAGGCTGTGAGAGCCAAGAGAATTTTTAGCATTCAAGAGAAATGTCTGGGGAGGGCTGATTGCAGTCTTCCACAAACCAAAGAGAATAAGAATACGGAGTCTGGCTGCTCTCAGAGTTGGACAGGCAGTAGATAAGAGGAAACAGCCATAAGTGACATAAGGACAATTCTGACTGGATATCAGAAAATAATTTGTGAGTGTCTGCACTGCCTGGAGCAACCATTCCACCTATATGCTTGGAGGTATTCAAAGCTCAACCAGGCAAGGTCCTGAGTAACCTGATCCAACTTAGAAGCTGACCTTGCTTTGAACAGCACACTGGATGAGGTGACCTTCAGAGGTCCCTTCCAATCTAAGTTATTCTATGATTTCCTGGAAAAAGTTCAGATGTGGAAGTTATCTTAAAAGCACTTCTCTCAAAACTTCAGCTAAAACTGTAGAAGCACTCCAGAGGCTGTAGCAATTCTGATAAGGCGTCTGTTATCCACAGCTGACTTCCCAGGAGAACAGCTCGTGGGACCACATGCTGCAGGACAAGAGGCCCAGCCCTGGTTCAGCATGCCAGCACCCAGACTGATCCATCTCAACGCAGACAGTGCTCCCTCAGCTCTTCTCTAGTAACAATAGGGTGTTTCTTTTCCCCAAAGAGCTCAGTCAACAGAGCTATCACAACAGCAGCTCTTCCCACTGTCAAATTCACTTTTTGAAAGCCACGAAAAATGAAGAGGAGAGATTATGGAGGAATGAGTCTACACAAAAGTGTAGTTTCCATTGCAGGGCTTGGAGGGGAGATCAGGCTATTGTGGGGATTAAAGAGACCCCGATCCTTTGGGAAGAGCCATGTGCTCCCTGGCAGGAGCATCTCCCCTGTCACCCCCCAGGCTCTGTGATACACTGCTCAAATGGCACTTACTTCCCCAGGAGCTGTGCTCCAGGAAGGGCCGTAAGAAGTGGAATTTGGCCACAAGAGCAGAAGACATCCATGGGATGCAGCCCAGTGGTGCTCACATTAATGCAGGTACATCTTTACATTGCCTTTTGCAATAAATACTTTCTGCTTCAACACGAATTCAGTACTCCAAAAATAACTGCAATTACCCAAGGAGCAGAGGAGCCTATTTACAAGATTTAAAGGGAAAGAGGAAAGAAAACATTGTAGAAGAAATCTTGCAACACCTGGGCCTCTAAATACAAAATTGGAGAGAAAAAGGGCAACTGCATCTTGCTCGTCTGTTGGAGGAAGCACCTCTGTGTTCGTGCCTTGTGTGACCCAACAAAAAGAACTGCTGAAGTTGAATGGCAACAAACTATCACGTGAAAATCAATTGTCCTTCCTGAGCAAGTGATCTAAAGGGAGGAGAGGGCTCAGGCAATATTCACACCTGGAAAAGTTTGAGTCATTGCTGAGCACAGGAAAAAAAAACATTAAAAAGTCACACATGTACACATATCAGGAAATGTTTAAAAATAATAAACTTGCTGCAGTGGCAGCAGTGATTGCTGTCTATCCAAGTGGTGAATAATTCAGAAGGTACCTGTTTCACTCAGGATTTCAGGGTATTCTCAGACCTGCCAGAATTTTCTGCTGGTAAATAATGCATCTGCGGTATTCAAACACACATGATCCCCAATTAACAGTAAAGATTAAACAGGGATGAATTTGAAATAAGGGAAGTCTGAGGAAGGAAAATTCCTATTAAGCTGTTTGGGGCTTTTTGTCCTTCCTGTGTTCCCTTGCAGCTGGGTGCTAGAGCCTCTCCGGCAATGAGCAGCTAGCACAGCCCCTTAGCTCAGTGCTGGCCTACAAAATAAGTCACAATGGGTTCCAGAAAAGCAAACAAGCAGTGCATGAGGCAAAACAGGAAACAAACCATCTAACAGTGCAGATAGCCCCATGTTTGCATTGATCTGTTAAACAATGATGACCTGCATGTTGCAAGACTGGAAAGTAATCACGTAGATAATCCACGTTGCAGAGGGGGAGCAAGCTGAAGGCTTTCATTTAAATTACTGAACATTGGTGATTTGGAGAAAATGCCTGCTGAATCTCTGAAGGCTGTGCATGCAGCTCCTGCCCAAAGCAGGGTGAGCCAACGGGCAGCACTACAGGTTCACAAGAGACCTCTCCAAATGCCCCCTCCTATTTCCCTGACCATTTCTATCCCCATCTCTGAACGTTGAGAGATTTACAGCTGCAGAAAGAGGATAAGCGCCTCCTCTGGTTTATATGGTGGTTTTAGGAGATCTCCTTTATCGGAGTGGAGATGCAGCTATGTCTCCAGAAAAGAAGCCAAGAAATGGAGAAAGGAAGCAAGAGCCCAGCCCAAGAAAGCAAGAGTGCACAGTGCCCTGGAAACTAATCTGTAAAGACAAAGAGAGGCCTATTTTTTTCTTCTGCACTATCTGAATTTTTCTTGAATCAGGCTTTATTCCCTGTGAATTTTCATCTGATAACATCTGTTCACCACAGAAAGGGCACAGAGCACTGCAAACACCAGCAGCAGCACTGCATGGCAACCCACGCAGCAGGAGCAGGGACACAGCACTCATGATCCTGTCTATAAACCAGCTGTATTTCAGGACCAGGCTGAGACCTTCACAGGGTACAGGACACCCTTCAGCCACCTGAGCTTTCCTGTGCCACTGGGGACAGGTGGAGCTGAGCTCAGTCCCCTGATGATGCATTGCAGGCACTGGTGCTGCTCCTCTCCTTCTGTACCAGGGAGAGCAGCACCTCTGATTTCAGGGCACTTTGCCCAAACGTTTTGTTTATCATGCTACTGCAGTTACTATTGTTCCTAAATTGTTTTTCTTATTAAATTGCAGAGGTTTTGAGTCAAAATAAACTTTCCTTTGCAAGTGCATTTGCTAGCAATTGGCTGGCAGCAGAGGGGAGAGTGAAGGCACAGGGGAGGGAAAGCAGAGGAGAATTACACGGTTTCAGATTCCTGTAAACAGAGAAACATTTTTCCAGTCATCAGCCTGCATCCAGTGGAAATAGAGCTTCAGTTTCCTCCTGCTAACACCGAGGATCTGGTGGCACTGCTGCTGACATGCCCCCATTTTCTCTCCTGCAGTTGCTGGATGCAGCTCAGCCCAGCATGCCAGCATGCATTGCTGCTGTTTCCCTCTCCTCGTGCCTCCCTGCTGCCCTGCCTGCAGCCCAGCAGCAGATGCCTGCACCTTGGGAGGCCCCACAGCAAGCCCACTTCCCTCTGCTCCTGCTGCCCAACTCCACAGGCATGGGAGCAACTCAGAAGTGGGTTTAAGGATTGCAGCTGAACAGACATAAAGGGCATCCCCAAAGCCTCCCCCCCGCAGCTCCCATGATGCCAGCATCTCCTTGCTCAGCCCACAACTGGTGTTTCTTGGATTAGCTGTGCGTGGCATCCTCATGTTCTATGTAAATACAGCACCTAGTGCACACGCAGCCCCGCTGCACTAATGGTATATTAGTAATCTGCACAGTGCAAACACAGGGAGTTGCACCTCAGCCACTGTCACCAAAGATTTACACACATTTTTCAATCAGTTAATGTCAATATTTTGCAGTGTGGTATGCAAACACTACTCATTTCAGAGGAATATCCTCTGCCCTCGATCCTCTGACCACTGATCCTCAGCGGTTTCCCACCAAGCCATAAGACAACACCATTCAGTTCTGCCTGTGAAAGCTGATCAACAGGTGAGAGTTTTCCAAATACACCATTGAATGCTTCCCTGGAAGAAGCAGAGTGTGAAAAATGTTAGAAATGATGAGAAGAGCAAAAACAACATGTTGACACTCAAACATGTGCAATAATAATATTAATTTATATCCTTTGCATATTGCTACTGCCAGGTTTTAGTATCTATGCATGTACCATTTATAAGTACTGTTCATACACAAAGGGCAAAGACTTACAGCTCTGCATCTGCTGACAGTGCCAGCTGACACATTTAGCAGGAAGCAGCCTGGTGGTTAAAGCTGCTGCCTGGGCACAGGTGGAGGTTGGGTTGCTCTTGGCTGGACTGCAGCCCTGCTGCGTCACCTCGGTGAGATCACCTCAGCCACAAAGCTGCCAGGACAGCATGTTCAGAGTCACCCCATGGTCATCAAAAGACCAATAGAAGTGACCTTGCATCTCTGCGTGTCTAAATACGTGTTCAGGTACAGCACAAAGGGTTGGCTAGAACAGATCTGCTCAGATATTCAAGTTACCTCCCAGAAGCTTTTGCTGGTGGGGCGCTACGCAGGCTGTGACAAGATCACCCTGCTGTCACACAGCTCTGGACGTGCTTAGGGCAAGCAGCAGTCTCACCAGAAGTATCCCTGATGCACCTGTCAAAGATTACAATTATGATTGTAATTGATACAAATCATGACTGTTTGATGGCTGATGCTAAATGAGTTTGGCTCCCATCCAGTTTCCATTGGGCAGGCATCTCCATCTCAGAACACAGCAACATTTGGTGTTTGTCCATATCGTCATCTTGGCTGGCACTGCTACCCAAGGCTGCTTATGGGACGTGTCAGGAGAACAGGCTCGCTCCTACAACCCGAATTATGCATGTAAGCAGGGCAGCATAGAGGAGCCTTTTGTTGTTAATTGCATTTAACTTCCCTCTTGGAGACAGATGGAAGGGTTTGTGTGACAGCATCTCTCACCAACGCCAAACTCCTCATGTTCTATTTGACAATTCCGAAACCGACCTCATCCTAACATGAGAAGTTTGCTCACAAAGACTACACTACAAGCTCTCCCAGAATGCTTAGATTAGCACAGTGTGATTCAGGAACTTCCTTTGTTACCAGCCCTCTGCCCCCGTCAGCACATTCACTTGATATTGTTTTAAGCTTCATCCTTGCATGAGGACCAAGCCGAACAAAACAAATCTGATAGCAATGCATAGGCAGCCCCGTGTTCCCAGTGTGCTTCTAAGAGCCATGGCAACGCAGCTTTCAAAAAACTGCCTCCCTCCCACCCATCCCATTGCTGCTCTTGGGCCAAACAGGGGGCAGTGATTCCCCTGTGCCCCAGGAGATAGGGATGAGGGCATGGGGCTGTGAGTGCAGGCAGGGTACTTCATGCTGTGTGCACCAGCAGCAGGGAGAAGGAAAAAGCAAATGTGGGTGTGCACACATACATGGGTAGCACTGTTTGGGAGGAGAAATAGGGGAACTCATCTCTTCAGAGAATCAGATGTGGGGGTCCTGGCACTATGCCTGTCTTGACTGCAAAATGTAGAGGTAGGGAGGGAGTCTGGCTGGCTGCAAACACAGGGTTTGCTGTAAGATGTCTGTGCAGTTTCACCGAAGAGCCTCTCCTGCCTATAACCTTGAGTGCCACATATCTCTCCATGAAGGCAGGGGCTTCAGCTCCCACAGATCCCCAGTCACCTGAATGACAAGGGTGCACCCATGATGCTGGGCAGGATAGCTCCTAAGGGCACTCCAGCATAAAGCCATACTCCAACCTGCTCAAACATTTTTTTTCTGCACAGCTCCCAGCTTCAACTCCTTATCCTGGAACACGTCAGCACCCAGCCAGCAGGAGGGAAATGCCAAATTTGTAGCAGATTGGAGTTTATTTTTAAGCAGTGTCAAAATAAAAACAAACAAAGCAACCTTCCCAACACACACACACAGAAGAATGAAACCAGCTCATAGAAACAATAAGCCCAGCACAACACCAAGACCTGGGGGCTCCCAGTGCTGGTCGCAACCCCTACGTGCTGCCTTCCCTGCTTATCAGTTGGCACAGGGGCTGTTGGGGCCCTCAGCACCAGGACACAGCCCTGCAGGCTGCCATGCAGCACCTGGTGCACACCAAGCTCCATTCCTTCTCTGTTCTGCAAGCACCCCATTTACTCACTGTTTTAAAATGGGATTACAGCTTGTATGAGACCATACTCTGCCCTCACTGAGGATGTGATGTAAAAAAAACAAAAAAAAACAAACAAACACCTCCCTTATTATGAGTCTAAGCCATTGCAAAGCCCTTAATAAATTATCTGGCCCACTCCTTTATGTTTTCTCTTCCTGGGTCTTCCATTTTCCTTGGGAAACCCAAGGTGGGGAAGCAGTCCTAGGCGGTACTGCTAAAGAGGACAAAGCTGTCCCTAAATTCTGGGGTGCTCATCCAAACGAGGAGGATTTTTCCCCTCAAACAAACAACCCAGATATCTGCCAAGATGAACTTCATCTGTGTGAATCTGCTACAGTCAGTGGTAACTGCAATGGCACAAAGTCAGACGTGCTGAACACCCAGAGGGATGGCAGGTGAGGATGGGGCAGAATGCCCCTTCACACAGCCAGAGCTGCCCTCACTGTGCTGGGGACAGGAAGGAGCAGCTGGGCAACCCAGCCAAAACCAGCTTAGCAGCGAACATTTGCAGTATGTAAAGAGAAATACATGTGCCTGGACACAGCAGGGCAGAGGGTGTAGGCTGTCCCACACCCAGCTGCCTCCTCCTCCTCCAGTCCATGGGAAGCCCTCAGGGAGTACTTACAGCTGGCAGGTTTCAGCCCAGGACCCTGCCCTAGCTCAGCTGCATACCCACCACACAGCCCTCATGTCATACTGGCATCCCCACAGCCCTTCCCCTTGGGTCACCCCATGGGTACAGGAGCACTGAGCAACATGGGTACATTTCTATGGGCCCACAGGTATTTGCAGCAGCAAACTCACAATGCAGACAGAACATGAATTACCTCCTCATTAAGCTCCAGCCTTGTGCTACTGAGGCACATAAAGAGCCTCCAACGTCACATCTCAGCCATGTACAAAGCTGTCTCCATGCTGCGTAAATCATGCATAGCCACATCATCTGTTGGAGATGCACAAAGCCACAATCACTAATCGTGCTGAGGAGCACAGCATTACCTACGGGATGCAGCTGCAGTTAGCAACCTACATGTAGTATGGTGTATGCCTCTAGATTTGAATGTTAGAGCTCTGATTCTTGCCTCCTTCAGTACATGGCAGCTTATACATCTAGAAGAGGGTGCTGGGACTCTGCATTCAATTAACAGTGACAACTTCTGCTTTATCACTCTGGAAAGAAACCACAGCACCGAATGAGCCCATGTGAGAGCCCAGATGAGTAAGCCCCAGATGTCTTATTACACACAGGCTTTTCATAGCCTATTTCCAACTTGGAAAGTGACTTACAAAACTAAAATTACCCCTTATCTACTGATACTACACAACATCCACTAGCCAGGCACAGGATTGCTGGGACAAAACCAGAGCTTACAGTTCGGGCACTCCAAAGGTATTTTGAAACAAAGTTCACACAGAAGCCCACGTAAGCATACAGGACAGAAGCTGTACGTGCCCCTCCTGTGCTGCTGCACAGGAACCACATGATGAGCATGCAAACAATACTAGCAATGTATCTAGCAAAAGCCAAGGTCCAGTTTGAAACCTATACATTTATTTATGGTAGCAAGACTCTGTGTAGACTTCTGTTCTCCCACATCTACTGGCTCCATCTTTAAACAGCATGGAAAGAACACATCTCCAGTTGTGCTGCTCCCCCTCACAGCATTACTTGCTTTAGGGTCTGTCCTTGGCATCATTCACACTCTGCTGATACCAGTTTTTAGGCTGTAGGTAATGCTTATGCTGCACTATAGCAAACTGAGCATAATGCACTGGAGTCCTCTGCTCTCTCTTGAACTTGCATTCACCTGGAAAGTTCATTGCAAAGGCAAACAATACAAAGAAGAGACTGCTCCCAGATTCAACACCAAAAAGCTCAAAATGATGGGGAAAGAAAATTAAGTTCATGTAAACAAGAGGTGGCCAGGACTGGGGTGCCAGGCAGAAAGGTCTCCCAGTCAATCCCTGTTCAAATGGAAGCCAATCCAAGGAGCTGCACTGATAGATACAAACATCTCGACCATCAGCTACCCCCCATCAGACATAAGGAATGATTCAAACTCAAACACAGAGCTCTCACAATCCCTTTCATGCGGCACAGCTTGGCTTTCCCAGCTCCACACGGTTATTTTCTCCCCATCCTCCTACTCAAAGCACAAACTAAGAATACAAAGGTCGTCCTCTTCCAAAACCATAGGCAGAGCTATACATCTCTGACATCTGCTTGCTGCTCCACGTTCACTCTCATTACAGTAGCACATAAATCTCTAGAGAATTACAGGGGAAATCAGGTGCTCATTGTCCTCAGACATTTCCCAGAGTGCTCAATGAAGGGACAGCACATCTCTGGTACCAATATATTGCCTGGGAACTTTGAAAGCAGTATAAATAAATGAGTCTAGCGCATATTACCAGGAACAGAATGGCAGAATGCATTTCATATGGATGAAGTTGAAAAATCTTCAGAGCTAATGGCTTCAAGTGGTTATGAAAGCTGACACAGCACCATAGATGTGACTTTCTTCTCTTCCTTCCTTGTGGAGACAGCATTGACTGACTGGGCTCTGGGTTTGCCCAGAGCTGGAGGTAGCACAGCACGTGGCTTGCTGTGCAGGCAGCCTGAGCACCTAACAAGCTCACCACTGGGTGTGCAATTTTAGTATGCTTAAAAATAGAAAACAAGCTTGAGAGCTATGTGATATGGGCAGTGACCCCTCAAAAATAAACTGCAGTCTTCTCCGTGGCCCATATCTGCCCAGAGAGTGGGCTATCAAAGGTACAGCCACAAAGTAGGGGGCTTTCATCATCTCCACACTCCCAAAACATAACAGAAGCCCAGGAAAATGAATGGGCTTTGAGATCTGCAAGCCCACAGCCATTCCCCAGGGTTAACCATGCTCAGCTGAGCACCATAAAGAGGGCTGAGGCAAATGCCAAGGTTGACCATAGCTCTGGGCAAGGCAAACACTTACTTGACAATCTTGGGCTCCTCCACCTCTGCCACATGGAGCGGGGACACTGACAACTCACACATGTTCAAAAAATGAAGACAAATTCCACCAAGCATCTCCAAGTTCTGCTCTGTCACTTTTCCCATGTTTTACATTCTGTGAGCATAAGCAAACAACAGAACATAAGGAAAGAAGGATTTTTTTTCCTCCTTCCATTCCCAAAATATTAAAGAGGACATTGAGAGAAAGGTCCTTCTTTCTCTGAGAAAGAAGCAGCTATCCTGAGAGCATGCACAGCTTCCTTGCACCAGCCCTATGCTAGGGCAGGTACACAGCTGTGTGCACACACAAGCCTAGCCTGACTCAATAAGAGATGACTAAGATCCCAAGTTACACACAGCCTGTGCCCTGAACATGGCACAGCTCCTGCAACGCCAGCCACGCAAAGCTCCCACTTCACTGGGATGCACTCCACAGCGTTTTGAGGATGGAGCGCAGCCATCCCTCAGCATGCCAACTTATTAGCCTTGCCCTACAGCTCCTTCTGAGGTCATGGGTGGTAGGACAGGCTGGCTAGTGACCTGCCTTCAAGGCTGAGAAAATGAGATCCATTAGAATATACAAGAAGCTGAGACCAAAGCAACCCTATCTTTCTGTCTGAGCATCTAAATACCACTGATCTGATTAGGGCACATTGCCCCAACATGTCTACAGGGAAAGAGTAGAAGCTTTCTTCTTCCCATGCATTCCCACATACTCACTGCAATGAGTAGACAAATAGGTTGGTATGAATAGCAGCCCCCTCATTTCCCCTGTCTGGATGGTTTGAGTCAAGTGCTCACAAGAAGGAGAACTACCATGACAAGATGTCCTGATTCACTGCAAAGAACACACAGCAAAACAGCATCCTCCCTTCAAAGCCATTACCCAGTAAGTATTTGCATAGAGGAGGAGAAGCACCTTGAATGAGTATATTCAAAAGGGTGCCACTACATCACTGAGTTGTATTAACTTACACAAAAGCACATTTTGGGTGAGCTCAGCATGTTCTTAGCAGCATAACAGGTAAGGTAAAAATGCAGCACTTTGAAGGAGGGATTGATAATGCACAGCAATAACAGTAGAATAGCAAATTCCTAGGCTAGAGCAAGTAAGAAGAAGCCCAAATGCAGAAACTAGGAACACACACACACACAAAAAAAAAAAAAAAAAAAAAAGTTGCTTACCTTCAGAAGGCCTCAGGTAAACAAGATTCCCCAGCAAAACACCCTTACTGCTCCCCTGCCAACACTTAAATGAGGTCTGGGAAGGGGTGGATCCTGGCTCCATCCCTTCTGGTCACTCAGGTATACTGCATGCACCTGAGCTCCCCAGCATTGGCCCTGCCTTCCCACCAGGTGCTCAATCACTGCTTCAGGCCATGACTGAGCATTTCCGCTACAATCAGGCTGGAGATCAGCCAGCCTGTGCTCTCCTGTGGTTCTGAAATATGGCCCTGCAGTGTCACTGTGTGATGGAGAAGAAGGCCCATGCTGGAGCGTGGGCTGGCTATCAGCTCGCAAGCAGTGAAACTGAACAATGTTACACCTTTACAAATAGCAGCATGCTCTCTTAAACCAGGGCCAGGGGTAGAAGAGGAGCTGGACAATCTCAATTGAGCAGAAAGCACTGAGGCTGTTCTTGTTGGGCCCTGTACCCCAGCCTGGCGAGGAGCAGGCTCCCTCCCTCATCAGCTCCCACCTAGAGAAGGAATTTCAGTAGCAACCATCACCATGGCATCACTGTGCCACTTCTGTTCAGCAATCCTGCCAGTCCTCGTGGGTTTGCTGAAATGCTTATGACATTTTAGGTGTGGTGAAGGGGCAGGTGGGTGGGAGGGATGCTTCTCAGAGCACCAGCTGCTGCATCAAGGGGAGGAAAATGCAGAACTTCATCTTTTTCTTATAACAAGTGTACAGCCCTGCTGGGTGCTGAGTACAACTTGACGCTTCATATGCCCAGAGAGCCCCTGTTTGAGAGAGGGGAGGGGGTTCTCACTCTTGTCCCCTGATTTGGGGAGGTTGAGGGGCTGAGTCACAAGACTTGTGTCCTGCCTCAGGCTGTAGTGAGGCAGTTTCAGTTCCTGCCCCAACTGTCGCAATGTCTGCACTGCATACAGCAAGAGAAAACATTTGTAATGCAATTTTCATGTCCATTTTCTGCTACAGTCAGCCCAAGGTTGGCTCCCTCAATGCTCCTCCTGGGCTTCCTCTGTTCTTTGCATTTTTCCCACTGCCCTGCACCCAGCGATGACAAACTGAGAAGCATTTCCCAAGGGTGAGAAATCCTCACCAGAATCACCTGTCATTAGTCCTGTCTGACAAAACCATGTCAGAGCTTTGGGGACTTTCTCTATTTTTAATTGAGCCAATCTCTCACTGGCACTTCCCCCTCCTGGCTCCTCATACTTGTGATGACAGCAAATAGTGGAGAGGAAGGAATGTTGGGATGGAGAAAAACTGCTGCTTCCACCTGAGCTGCAAGGATTGCTCTATAATGGATGCACACTGGGCATTGCTGCCGCTGGAGCACAGGACTCTTGTTCTCTTTGTTCTTCCCATGCAATCAGCATTTGTCATTTAGTGTCTTCTTATCGTGGCCTTGCAGTATCACATCTTGGCTTGCTATTTAGTCTTCCAGAGGCATGAAAGAGCAGCTTCTCCTTGAATTTATCAGCTTAAATGGGGGACACTGCTTGGTGCCATGCCAGCGAGCTCCGGAAGATGTCTTTTATGTCTCGACCAAGTCAGCAAGTCTATCTCTTTATAGATATGATAATGCAAAAGGCTCCTCTTGGATAAAATCTGGAGGAGAAGAGGTGCCACCTGCCTGGCTGGGGAAGGGATTCGCTCTCTGGAGCCCGGTGAGAGCCGGGCACAACGCACAGCTCTGCTCAGCAGAAGGGAGGCAGCCGCACTGCCAGCAGCAGCCTGGGAGCAGAGAGCCACTGAGCACAAAATTAACACACTGGCTCATCAGGAAATGTTAATGCAGGCAAGAGGGGGAATTGCTTCATATGGGCAGGCAATCTGTGCAGAACAGATAAGCTTGATCAAAACCTGGTGCAAATCTGCGCACTTCTCTCCAAAATCTGCCCTCTACCCTCAGCTTGAGATTCGGAATAGAAAAAACAAAGCCCCGAATAAGGTGTTAAATACTCATGGCAAAGAAACAGCAAAACATTTTGCTGAAATGAAGCACAATGAAGACATCAAACAAAGCTTTTGTAGACACAACCAAGCAATAGCCATGCAGATCTCTGGCCCAGGAGGGGAACCACACAGCTTGGAAAAAAAGGTTGTGGTTTGGATCTCCATGTTGACACACAGTTAAGGATCTGAAGGTGTGCACCTTATTGCACACCTTTTTTTTGTCATTACATCCCCCAGCAACCCTTTCCAAAGCAGGACCAGTTGGGTGCATGGACTTTGTCATGCTTTCCCTCCCTGCTTTGTCTGATTGCACCAGATCGTTCCCTCCTCTGAAAAAAGCTAAACCATCTCCTCCATCCGTGGCACCACAGTGAGGACCACAGTGCCTTGGCAGAGGAACTGTGGGCTGCCTGTGACAGGACTACCACAGGGCCACCAGGGCTGAAGCAGCAGAACTTGCCCGATGCTGATGTCCTTTCCAGGCTGCAGAGGCAAAGGTGGCTCTGCCTGTTTAGTGGCACGACAATCATCGGGGTTAAACTGTTTCCTAAAAAATCCAGAAAAGTCCTCATTTTTCTGAGCTGTACATCTACCCCAAAGCATTAAATGGTTTAAAACAATTCAGTTTTTAAAGAAATACAAATTCCTTATAAGGAGCTCCTTCTTTTCAGAACAATCCTAAAACCAAGTATAAATTCCTAATGAACTCTTTTCCACTACAAATCCCATCTGCCTTTCATCTGCTATCCTCTCCCAAAATTTGGTGCTTATTTTCCCCAACCTCTCCCTCCTCCTCCATCTTTCCCCACTACTGCCATGTGCTTTTCAAAGTGGAGACCTAGAGCCCACTTCATGCAGGCACCACATCCTTTTCTTGTCCTTCACACGTGGTCAGCATTGCATAGGAGCCACTTCCCCCTTTGCAGTGATATTTTCACTTCCTTTGGAGATGACATCCATCCACCAACCAGGGACAGACTGGGGGACCCTGGACCTGAGGTGGGTGGGATGCAGCCATCTGGGGGAATGGATGCCCATCACTGGAAGTGTTCAAGGCCAGGTGGGATGGGACCCCATGCAGCCTGATCTGGTGGGGAGCAACCAGCCCATGGCAGGGGTTGGAGCCTGATGATCTTTAAGGTCCCTTCCAACCTATGCCATTCTTTGATTCTGTGAATGGAGGTGGACACTGCTTTGCTCCTCAGCTCAGGATTGCTTCCGAACCCAGCCATCCAGTACACTACAGGAGGCAGAAAAGTAAGGTCATGGTGGTAAATGATGGCAGTTGCACTGGAAAACAAGTGGCACCAGCAGAGCTGCCTGCTTCATGGTTCCTGGCCATCACAACTTGCTGTTGGCCCTGCCACTGCCTCCTAGAAATGTGTCACAGGGCTTGGCACTGCTTTATGAATCACTTAGTGAAGGAAGAGAGAAAGAGGGACGAGGATCTAGTGAGGTGTTACAGCAGCCAGAGAAGCCAACACCACCTCCAGCATAAGCAGATGCTGGATTGAATCTCCTGGCACCTCCAATTCCAGTGGGGAAGAACAGGAGGTCCAGCTCTATCCTATGCCTTACAGTTAGAGGCTCTGATCTTGGCATCCCAGCTGAGCGACTGCTTTGTACCCTGCTCAAAAACTGCCTGGATGGGGCCACAGGCCAGAAGAACATTAAAAAGTAATTGAAAGGCCTGGGGGATAAGAGGAAGGAGAGGACAAGCTCAAAGAAACCAAGCAAGAAACCTGAGGCATGGCAGTGTTTGTCTGAGAAGACAATTAAATAAAGTGGCTTTGAAGAAAATGAAGAAACTGTCTCAGAAAGGATCCTGTGAGGGCAGCAATAGCAGGGATGGTGAATAGCAGGCTGTGGGGCAGAGCTGCCAGGAGAGAAAGTCTACATATCTACTGCAGCACTGCTGCCCCAGCCCAGGCTACAGAAATCACCACAAGAAAAGATTGAACTGATACGTTACCAGTGCAAAAGTAGCCCTAAAATATTAAGAGAACATCACACCTTACACAGGGCTTATTAAACAAATGCTCCTTTCTCATCCAGAGAGTATTCAAAATTGCACAGATGGTTAAAGCATATCTGTAGTAGTGGTAGTGGTTTAGAAAGCTCTCTGGGGGACAAGAAAATTTTGGACTTTTTTATTATTATTAACGTCAACAGGCAGGATTTTAAGGTGTAGTGAGCTTATTTCTGCTGTAGCTGCTGCAGAGAAAGCGCTGACCCCCCAGCCAAAGCCAGATGGTGAGCTGTGCCCAAACCCTTTGGGGAGAGACCTCGGAAAGAGGCACGAAGTATAACCAAGGGTTGCACCTATGGGGCAGCTCACAGAAACAAAAGCAGGTTGGGTACAACAGCGGCAGCACAAACCCAAACAGCTCTGCAAGGGGCAGAGCAGCCTCACACCAGCCTATGGGACAAAGGATGCTGCGCAGTAAGGAAACCGCGTGCATTCAGTGGCACAGCTGGTTTAGGGCTAGTTTGATCAAACCCCTGCAAACACACCAGTATAAGGTTCAGGCGGATGAATGGTTACACGGTTTGACAGAGCTGATAATCCTTTGCTGTGCAGTTGCAGAAGGTGTAACATTTTCTGGAGATGGCAAAGAGGGACCTCGATCCACCATATGGTCTCTGTCCGCCCCGCGCCGCACTGAGGCTCGTGCTCTCATGTGACACACCATTAGCGAGTCACATGCAGCAGAAAGCTATTTTATGGCCAGATCCTGCTCTTAGAAGCTATGATGACTAAACTGGCTAATCAAATCAGCATAAATTTGCAAACACCGTTTTAGCAGCTGTGACCGTAAATATCATCAGCAGAATGTGAATAATCCCGAGCGCACGATGGGTTGAGTAATGGGTTCCCAATGGGCGTTGAAACCATCAGTCCGCTGCCTGGCAACTCAGAGGAGGGGGCGAGGGGGGGGAGGGGGTGATTATGATGAGCCTGAAACAGCAGATGCAGTTATCACGACAAAGCAGTGAGAGCACACGCACCAGAAAAAGAGAAAAAAAATCATTTACTGAGACAAATAATCACAGTGGATGACCT